TAGATAGATAGATAGGTAGAGAGAATGAGATAGAGAGGTAGATAGAGAGATGGATAGATAAGTAGATCTATAGATAATTAGAAATATAGATAGATAGATAGATAGATAGAGAGATAGAGAGATTGATAAATACACGTGAGAGAATGAGATGGAGAGATAGATAGATAGATAGATAAATAGACAGCTAGAGAGATAGACAGATAGAGAGAGAGAGAGAGATAGATAGATAGGTAGACAGAGGGATACATAGAGAGATATAGTGATAGATAGATAGAGAGATAGACAGATAGGGAGACAGATAGATAGATAGGTAGATAGATACGCGGGAGATAGATGGAGAGATAGATGGATATAGATAGATAGATAGAAAGAGATAGAGAGAGAGATAGAGAGATAAAAAGATAGAAAGAGAGATAGAGAGATAGAAAGATAGAAAGAAAGAGAGATAGAGAGATAGATAGATAGACAGATAGAGAAAGAGAGAGAGAGACAGAGATAGAGGGATATAGAGAGATGGATAGATAGAGAGATAGAGAGATAGGAAGATATATAGATAGAGAGATAGAGAGATAGATAGAGAAGATAGATAGAGAGAGGGATAGATAGATAAGCAGAGATAGATAGATAGGTAGTTTTGTATAGATAGGTAGAGAAAGATAGTTAGACAAGCAAACGAAAGAAAGAAAGAAAAGACAGATAGAAAGAAGGAAAGAAGAGAGGAAGGAAGGAAAGAAAGGAAAGAAAGGAAGAAAGGAATAATGACGGAGAAAAAGAGTCAAAAAAAGAAAGAGAAAGAGAACTATAGTTTTTATATTTTGAAACTTCCGCCCACCGGCTTCGCCGGCTCTACTGGAATTTAGAAGACTGATGACATGTAGACGAATTAGCAAACAGGTCTCTTGAATTCCCCAAAAGACACCTGTCCCTTTGGGAGTGGTTCGAATACTTAGAGCAATGAAAAGACATAGAATGATGAGAACAAGCATGAATCTGGAAGTCCTTAAGAGGCACCCGTTGGGAGTAATGAGAAGAATTAATTAGAAGAGTTATAAGAAGTATAATAACTTGCAAAACCAATCTTCAATTCCCCAAATGCACCCGTCCCTTTGAGACTAGCATGTGTATTTAGAGGACGGATTACAAGTAGCATACTTAGCACACAGGACTTTTGAATTCCCAAAATGGCACCCGTCCCTTTGGAGGTGGACCGAATACTTAAGGCAATTATAAGACACACAATGATTTGCGCAAACATAAACTCGGAATTCCCCCAACAGTCACCCGTCCAATTGAAAATAATGAGAAACATAATTAGAAGAGGTATGAGAAGTAGAATAACCTGCGCAAAAGCAATCTTCAATTCCCCAAAGGCACCCGTCCCTTCAGGAAAAACAATTATATTTACAAAATGGCAGCCGTCCCTTTGGGAGTGGTTCGAATACTTATAGCAAGTCTAAGAAATACAGTGAATAGAACAAAACATGTTTGGACTTCCCCAAAAGTCACCCGTCCCTTTGGGAAGAAAGATAAGAAATCATTAGAAGAGTTAGGATATGTAGAATAATTTACAACATCAACCAGCACACATGAATATTGAATTCCCGAGGGACCCGTCCCTTTAAAACTCATGACACAATAGGTAGAAGATGTATGCTAAGTAGTATAAGTTGCAAAAACAATCTTCAATTCCCCAAAGGGACCGTCCCTTTGAGAATGACAATTATAATTAGAAGACTGATGTTAAGTAGAAGAATTAGCAAAGATGACTCTTGAATTCCCAAAAAGGCACCCGTCCCTCTGGCAGTGGTTCGGATACTTAGAGCAAGTATAAGACACACAATGTTTAGAACAAAAACTAATGTGGACTTCCCCAAAAGTCACCCGTCCCTTTGGAGAAGAACTAGAAGAGTTATGATGAGCAGACTAGTTAGCAAACATGAATATTCCATCCCCAAAGGCACCGGTCCCTTTGGGAAAAATGTATTATTAGAGACGAACAATTAGCAATCAGGACTCTTGAGTTCCCCAGAAGGCACCCGTCCCTTTAAAACTCATGAGAAAACTAGTTCGAAGAGGTATGCTCAGTAGATTAAGTTGCAAAAACAATCTTCAATTCCCAAAAGGCACCCATCCTTTGGGAATAACAACTATGATTAGAAGACTGGTGTTAAGTAGAACAATTAGCACAAATGACTCTTGAATTCCCAAAAAGGCACCCGTCCCTTTGGGAGTGGTTCGAATACTTAGAGCAAGTCTAAGAAGTATGACAAAAGACACCCGTCCCTTTGGGAAGAATGATAAGAACGAATTAGAAGAGTTATGATAAGTAGAACAATTTACAAAAATCAACCAGCAAACATAAATATTGAATTCCCCAAAGCCACCCGTCCCTTTGGAACTCATGAAAGAAGTTAGAAGATGTATGCTAAGTAGTATAATTTGCAAAAACAATCAGCAATTCCCGGAATAACAGTTATAATTGGAAGACTGATGATAAGTAGAACAATTAGCACAGAGGACTCTTGAATTTTAAAAAGGCACCCGTCCCTTTGGCAGTTGTTCGAATACTTAGAGCAAGTCTAAGAAGTATGACAAAAGACACCCGTCCCTTTGGGAAGAATGATAAGAGCGAATTAGAAGAGTTATGATAAGTAGAACAATTTACAAAATCAACCATCAAACATGAATATTGAATCTCCCAAGGTCACCTGTCCCTCGCACAGAGAACTCTTGAATTCCCAAAAAGGCACCCGTCCCTCTGGGAGTGGTTCGAATACTTTGTAAGAAATGAACTGATTAGAGCAAACATGAATTTGGAGTTCCCCAAAAGTCACCCGTCCCTTTGGGAAGGATAGAATGAATTAGAAGAGTTGTGATAAGTAGAATAATTTACAAAAACAACCAGCAAACATGAATATTGAATTCCCCAAAGTCACCCGTCCCTTCGGAACTCATGAAAAAAGTTAGAAGATGTATGCTAAGTAGTATAATTTGCAAAAACAATCTTCAATTCCCGGAATAACAATCATAACTAGAAGACTGATGATAAGTAGAACAATTAGCACAGAGGACTCTTGAATTTTAGAAAGGCACCCGTCCCTTTGGCAGTTGTGCGAATTCTTAGAGCAAGTCTAAGAAATACAATGATGAGAGCAACAAATATTTGGAATTCCCCAAAAGTCACCCGTCCCTTTGGGAAGAATGAGAAGAATGAATTAGAAGACTGGTGATAAGAGAATCATTAGCAAACAGGACTTAGTTGTGCACCTGTGGCCTTTGTCAGTCTCCTGACATCGAACCTAGCTGCACGCCTGTGCCCTGTGTTTGGCCACGGGCAATATTACTTAGCTGCGTGCTTGCAATTCCTTTGCTGGTCATGAAATTGAAACTGAAACATGCGCACGAGAAAGAACACACATGTTTGAACCAAGTGTCTGTTTATTCAACAGTGTCCTTGTGCACGGTTCGTGCATATGATCTCTGTAGCACCATGTGCGGATAGAGTTTTGGTGTGCGTGTGAGTGCATGAACATGTAACATGAAGAGGTGCTCAAATGCACAAAAATGCGCGGCGACGCATAGGACTCATTCTTCCCTGCCACGGGGGGGGGGGGGGGCGGGGGGCGCGAGGAGGGGGGGGGAGGGGGGGGGAGCGGGGGGCGCGAGTGCAGACGCCGCTTGCAGCTTGACGTTTGGCATAGACAGCCCCGCGCTCCGACACTGGCAAAAGCCTCTCAAAAAGGTTTGCTTAAGGCGCTTGCAGAGCTTGACGCTTGGCATTGACACACTCCCATCCCATGCTGGCAAAAAAGTTGAATCCTGCCAGCCACGGGTTGAATAATTTCTGCCAGCTTGTGGTTCCTTTTGTTCAGTGTTTTGTTCACTTCCGCATCCGGGCTTCGTAGCGTTCGGCCTGAACATTCTGGGCGCTCCTGCCTCAGCGGAAAACGTGTGTTTTCCAAAGAATTCCGCCTTCCGCTGTGCAAAATCGCCGGCCTGCGCAGCACGACGCCCGAGTGAATGGCCTCCGTATCCTGCTCAGGCATTGTTTGTTGTTGGCGTTGTTGTTGTGGGTGTTTGTTGGTGCTTGTTGTTTGCTGGTTGTTGGTTGTTGGTTGGTGTTTGTGGCTGATTGTTGGTGTTGGTTGTCGGTTGTTGGTTGTCGGTTGTCGGTTGTCAGTTGTTGGTTGTTCTGGTTCTCGTTCTTGTTGCTGTCGATGGTGCTGTTGTTGCTGATGCTGTTGTGTCGCTGGTGTTGTTGTTGATGATGGTTTTGGCGGTTATGTTGTTGTTGGTGTTAGTGTCGATGTTGATGTCGGTTGTTGGCTGTTTGCGATTGCTGCTTGCTGGTAGGTGGTTGTTCTTGGTGTTGCCGTTGTTGCTGCTGCTGCTGTGGTCTTCTTTGCTGCCGCTGCCGGTGGTGATGTTGGCGCTGCGGCTGTTGTGGTTTTTGTTGTCGGCGGCGGAGGTCGTGTTGGCGGTTTGCTGGCATTTTGCGGTTGGCTGTTTGTAGTTGGCGGGTGTTGTTTGGTTGTTGGTGGCCCCTTGTTGGTTTGCGGTCGTTGGTGCTTGCCTGGTTGATGCTGGTCGTCGGTTATTGCTTGTCGTTACCGTCATCGTCGCTGTGTTTCATGTCTTTTCAGAAGCTTCGAGGGCAAGCCGCGACAGATACGTCCAGACATATGGTGCCACCCCAAGCTCAGGCCCACTGCGACCAAGAAACCTTCAGCGCAGCTTTATCATTGCACGATTCAGATTGCTTGTGACCACTTTCAAGGGGCTTCCAACGCAATGCCTCGTTTGAGAAGCGTTTGCGACAAGCGACCAAGCCTCTACGCGCTTGGAGTCTTACCAGTATTGGTGCCAAGAGGCAAGTCGGCAAGCTGCGCAAACAGACATCATCATGAGACATTCTTCCCACCTTAGGGTTGGAAGTCTTGCTCAAAGTGCTCAGGGTGTTCCACATCAACATCGATCTCTCCCGCGTGCCGTGTGCGCAGGCGCAGACCCAAACATTCCAAACGCCTTGGGCCGCGGCCTTGAAGTTCCCAGTGCTTTGGGGAGCGGGAATTTACAACACGCATTGTGGCGCAGTAGGAGCAGAAGTGATGCATCATGGCTGTGTGTGTGCCCTTCGTTTGAACCCAAAGCCTAAGGGAAACCAACGTGCGCCGAGCTCCCTGCTCACTGTGTGTTACCCTCACCGTCTACAAAATTTAGAGCCTCCGGCTCACTCCGCCAACATTGCGCCCTCATGCCCATTCATTTCTCTGCGATTCACCGTCATTTCCCTCCTGCGTGTCCCTTTTTTTTCCATGCTTCCCTTCATGTTCCCCGAAGTCCCCGTCAGTCCCTCTTCGGTGCTCCCCTGCACAGTTCCGCCCCGTCATTTCCGATGCACTTCCCTTGATTGCACCTCCATTTCTTTTCAGGAGGAGGAGGGGGAGGGCCCTGCCTGAGATCCACACCAGATGTTTAGTAGAACATCATCAGATTGGGAGGGAAACCCTGCATAATTGACGTGTCCCGAAGATTTCCCGAAAGCATGGCGAAGGGTTCTTCCGCTGGGCTCAGTTGAGTTGTTCTCATGAAAGTCATTGAAAGGTGTCATTGCAAGGAATCATCATCATGAAAGCTATTGCAAGGAGTCATTGCATGGAGTCATCGGAGTGATTGCGAAGAGTCATTGCAAGGAGTCATTGCAAGGAGTCATTGCAAGGAGTCATGAGAGTCATGGAAAGTTGCAAGGAGCCAAGTGCATGGAGTCAAGTGCAAGTTGCAAGTGCATGGAGTCAAGTGCAAGTTGCAAGTGCAAGGAGCCAAGTGCAAGTTGCAAGTGCAAGGAGTCAAGTGCAATTGACTCGCGAGGAGTTAAAATCTCCTCTTAGGGCGCGCGGTAGTGCCGACGACACTCTACGAAAGTCGACCCTCTGCGGGGATCGGCGTGCTCGAGGTGCAAAAGCTCGAGGTTTTTTGCGATTTTTTTGGGCCCGCGCGACCCTCTGCGGGGATCGGCGTGGTCGAGGTGCAAAAACTCGAGGTTTTTGCGATTTTGTTTTGCCTCGCGCGACCCTCTGCGGGGATCGGCGTGGTCGAGGTGCAAAAACTCGAGGTTTTTGCGATTTTGTTTTGGCTCGCGCGACCCTCTGCGCGGATCGGCGTGGTCGAGGTGCACGACCCTCTGCAGAAATCGGCGTGGTCGAGGTGTACAAACTCGAGGTTTTTTGCGATTTTGTTTTGGCTCGCGCGACCCTCTGCGGGGATCGGCGTGGCCGAGGTGCAAAAACCCGAGGTTTGTCACGATTTCTGCGGTGCTCGCGCGACCCTCTGCGGGGATCGGCGTGGTCGAGGTGCAAAAACTCGAGGTTTTTCTGCGACTTTTGTTGCTCGCCCGGGACCGGCGGGTCGCGGGTTCGATTCCCCACTGGTCCGCGGGCGGGCTTCGCAAGCTGCACGGAGCAACTTGCGTAGAGCAACTTGCGCAGAGCAACTTGCGCAGTGCAAGTTGCACAGACCATTTTGCGCAGAGCAACTTGCGCAGAGCAACTTGCACAGACCAGTTTGCGCAGAGCACCTTGCCCAGAGCAACTTGCGCAGAGCAACTTGCACAGAGACATTTGCACAGAGTCAGTTGCACAGAGCTTCTTGCGCAGAGCAGCTTGCGCAAAGCAACTTGCGCGGAGCAACTTGCGCAGAGCAGCTTGCACAGAGCAACTTGCACAGAGCAGCGTGCACAGAGCAACTTGCAGGGAGCAACTTGCACGGAGCAACTTGCACGGAGCAACTTGCACAGAGCAACTTGCACAGAGCAACTTGCGCAGAGCAACTTGCACAGACCAGTTTGCGCAAAGCACCTTGCCCAGAGCAACTTGCGCAGAATGGTCACGGGGCTGTAATGCTTTCGGGCCAACCGTGGTCTAGTTTTTTTAGGGGGGTTTTCCTTTATCCTTTCTCAGGTGCCCGACACGCCGAGCAATATCGGCGGACTCCTCATTTTGTGACACACCTGAAGGTAGTCAACGATTGCTTCAAGAAAGGTAGTCTTAGGTTGGGCCAAAAGTACGGGTGAAGGTCATGTCTAATCGAATTGGGTCTGTTGAATATGGTTTGCCGCTTGCATTTTCCAACGGAGGTGCGCACCCGATTTTTTACGCCCTCCACAACTGGAGCTTGCGCATGTTTCGCCTCCTGCTGAAGCATGGCGGCTCAATGGAACGAGCCAGGCCAGACTGTCACCCTTGGTCCGAGCTCGTTTCGACTTGTGGCCAGCCCTGAACCGCCCTGCAAAAGCTCGATGAGCCGGACAACTAACACCCCCCGACGCTCCCCGAACAAAGGAGGAATATGGGCACGTGGCCAAGATCGGTTCATCTGGTATTGCTAAGTGTTGCCGGCTGGCGCAGAAGGAAAACTCAGGGCATCACACAACCGCGAAAGCTTCGCGAGAGGGACCTGAGGAATCATATTCACAAACTGTGGAACGCGTTTCTTTGTCGTTGGGCAAAGGAGCTAGAGGGCGCCAAGGCGCCAGGCCAGTCTTCACTGCACCTGGTGAACAAGGTGTTTGGGGAAGCTTGAAATTTTGGGCTTCCGGAGAAGGACTGAAAGGTTGACAAGGAAGCTTTCGAGCGTCGCCACCGTCGTTGCGCAAAGGAAGCGGAAGGGGGTGGCAACCCGATTCACTTCGCCTAGTGAATAAAGTTCCGGTTGGTCTTCAAGCGCCCCCGTTTGTGGGAACGATCCACTTTAGGTTGCAAGGAAAGGAGCTATTCTGTCTTTCGCAAACAAGAGAGCAACGCTAGAAGCGGGGCCACCCGCTGCGACAGATAGTCACGACGGCTTGTTGCCGTCCGTGGCTTCCTCAAATCGGTGACGCTCAACGGCAGGTTTGCCTTTTATTTGCGTCTGGCGCCTGCCAGAGAGGGATATTCAGGGGTCGGTCCATTTCCAACAACAACAGCGCATGAAGCCTGTCGCTGACACATATGTGCTGGCGCAGCGCGCCTTGCTTCCAGGAGTGAGAGAGGCGAGACTTTGAAGGCTGGGGCGTAGGGCCCGAACACTCGGAGTTGTGGGCCCCAGTCAGATGAAGTTGGCGCAGGGCCAGGACGAGTCGGGGCCTTTTTCCCTGCCTTGTGCCAGGCGTATGTGGAGAGGAAGGTGAAGCAGGCCGGGCAATTGAAGCGTGGCGGGGCCGCCTTCTTCTCGACCGCCTCGCGGCAGGAGCGGTGCGGCGCAACTAGTTTCAAAACAGCAGGGCTAAGGCTGTGTCAGGACAAGGCCCAAGCCTTGCAAGAGCTTGTGTTAAAAAAGATGCTCAACGCTCTGCGCACCTTCTTCCTGCTCCTGCGGCGTTGCGCGTTCTGCGCGTGCTGCCATGAAATTCACACGAGAAGACACGTGCGCGACCTGCATCACGAAGCTTTCGTGGAGGTGAACACTAACAGAAAAAGCCCTTTCTCTTCATACCTGCAGCGCAAGACCTTTTTGCACGACTCCCATGAATGTATGCGTGTTTCTTTCCTTCATTTCTTCCTGCTTTCTTGCTTCCTTTCTGTCTTTCTTTCGTTTTTCCTTGATTCCTTTCTTCCTTCCTTCCTTCTTCCTTCTTTCTTTCTTCTTTTGTGTTTGTGTTTTCCTTTTATTTTCTTTCTGTTTGTGATTGTTTCTGGTTTGTTTGTCTTTCATGCTTTCACGCTTTCACGCTTGTTTGGTTGCTTGCATGCTTGCGCGCACGCTGGCTTGCTCGCAGGCTTTCGTCTAGGCAAGCTTGGGTTAGTGTAGATTGCAGGTGCGCATGGCTATGGAGTTTTCATTTTGTAGCGGTTGAAGCCACGCACGGAAGAATTATTGCCTGGTAGCGTGTTGACCAGCAGTGTTTGTCGGCACGCCTGTGTTTTGCACGGTTGTGGTTTTTTATGCAAGCGTTGTTCGGCATTGCAGGACCCAAACGAGAGTTGGTTGGACGAAAGCGTGGCCTCAGTCTTGCCGCAAGAATACGTCGCTGCAAAAGCAAAAAGCAGCTCGTGGGAGTTTGAAGCTGTCGGGCCCATGAAACTAACTTGCCAGCCGGATTTTCGGTGCTGTTTGGCATGAGGCCCACGAAAGTTTCGCGAAAATCAATGGGCCTCCCCGCCAGTTTCCATTTACTTCGTGTGCTACTTGCGTGGTGAGTGTTGTGAACGTAGCCCCGCGAAGGCTCCGCGATGGAGGTTGCGAAAGTCTTGTTTTTTGGCTGTAAGGTGAGAACATTGCTTTACATTATGTAACATTGCATGAGACACACGTATGCAGCTGCGCCCGCAGCACCGCGTTGCGTTACATTGCGTTGCGTTACACACACATGCGCGCGCACACACACACGCCCACCCACACGTACCTAACTACATACCCACACACGCATACACACATGCGCACACTCACAGACAAGCAGGCAAGCAGGCAAGCGAGCGAGCACGCGAGCAAGCAAGCGCACAAGCACACGCAACCAAACAAAGCACGGAACGAACGGACCAACAGACAAACACACCGAGACAGTCAGACGAGCCACAAATCAACACACCTAAAGAAAGACGCCCCCCAAAAAATAGGAAACAGGCTGGAGCTGAGGGAAAGAGTGAGGAGTGTTGGGGTTATTGGGTCAAAAAAATGTTGTTATCCAACGTTTTAACACCCTTGTTTGATTTCATCCTATATTTTGTTGTAGGGTGTTAGGGGTGGGTTTTTCTGGGGAGTAACGGTTTGTTCATTTGAAAGCGTCAGCCCTTTTAGTAGTCATCATGTTCTGGAATTTGGTGGTGCATTTGCTTCATCCTAGTTACTTGTTGTTTCTATGTATTCTCTCACAGTATCGTGATTGTTTTCTTGACCTTTCACTCTTAGTTGGTGCTTACTTGTTTGCTGGTGTTTTTTCATTCTGTATTTTCCTACAAAGCATTTACATAAAGGACATTCTACTTTCAATTGGTTATAGTCTTTCTGTGTTTCATTTATGTCTTCTTTTTTGTTTTCTCTATATTCTTTTGCTTTTTGTTGTATTTTGTCTTTATGCTTTTCACGACAGTTCTTGTTCTTTTCCAGTATAGTGTCTTTGTTTTCTCTCTATATGTCTTTTTATTCTCTACAATTTGTTCTTTGTTGTTTTCGCAATACTCCTTGGACTTTTGCTGTATTTGTTCTTTGTGTGCTTCTCTATACCGTCGTTTGCTCTCCAAGCATACATTACATTGTTTTCTTCCTTCATTGAACTTTTCTAACAATTCAAAGACTTTACATTTGGAACATTGCTTTTTGTCTGTCATTGGTCTCTTCATGTTTAAAGGGTTATTTCTTTAGACGTGTTTAATGAAATGTTTATAGGTTATAACTATAGTCTAATGAAAGGTTACAAATGTTTATAATGATTAATCATATTATAATTATAGAATAATATGAATAAACAACAGTTAGTTTGTCCAATCTTCAATCTCACCAGCGATGCAACCACTATAACAACTCATACCATACTCACAACAATAATGTTCATAACCTTCTGTTAACTGGTCAGTGTAAATTGCAATTTAATCGCTAAGAATATGTCTCATATAAAAATTGTTATTTCTATATGACCACCAGCTGTTTAGGTTAGGAAAGTTAAAATCATTATTTTTCATAAATGTTAATTGTTCAATTTTAATACATTTTCGTAAAAGTAGACTAACTTCGTGACTGTTATTTTTACAGTATGATTTCATTATTTGATAATACATTTTCCTATTTTCAATCCTTTTCTTTTACTCCTAATTTATCAAATATGCTATCAATGTTTCTTCTATACTGCTTGTCATCATAATGTTGTCCAGGCATTTGTGTAATGTAGTTATTAAACGACTGGTTGAAAACAGTAATTGTAACTCTGCTTTCTCCAGCCCTTCTTCTGGTAAACCTCTATCTTTCATAAAATCATTTTCTTTTAATTTTTAAACAACGACATTTAAAACAATCCATTTTACTATAATCACCAATAAGATCACAAACATCAACAGGTAATTTATTTGCTAGTGCTATAACAGACATACAGCTTTTATTTTTACAAGGACAATTCTCATAATTAAACAGTGTCATTTTTCTCTTGATATATTATGTTATGTTTTCTTTAAGTAGTTATATATTTGGGGGTTATTATGCTAACCATTCCCCTATTCCACCCCAGTAATGTTCAACGAGTCTCGGTAATGATGTTATAATCACTCTGTCATATTGTTCATTATCATTATTGTCATAGTTGTATTGAATGAGTTCATCTAACAAGTTATGACCAGCATTGACATGGAAGGCTTCAAGGTTTGTCTGAATATGGAGATTAGGCGCAAGTCCAACCAAGGTGAAACGTCTGTTGACCGTTCATCCACTGGCTGTGTCATTCAGTAACCTCGGTTGTGAACGGGCACAAGGGGCTTGACGGATATTGATTGCTGTCTGCATGTGGCTCACCAACACCCACAAAAGACCACTCTGAACTCCCCAAGGTAGGGGCTCTGAACTCCCCAAGGTAGGGGCTCTGATGAAGACATCATGGACATCATGGACATCATGGCTTTCGTCTTTTAGGTTTGGAAGACGCAGGGTTGTCGGGTTGTTGTTTTGGGTCGTTTGGGAAAAGGTTTAGGGAATGAAACCAACAAATATTTCACATATCAATTTGGCAGGGATTTTGTATAGGTCGTTCTGATGGTGTTTGATGTATCCCTCACCCCAATCAACCTTTTTACCTGATGACAACCGTTGAGCTGTTTCTAAATGTTTCCCATTCCTAATTTCCCACAATCCCTATTACATAATGGTCTAGGTTTCCATGTTGCAATGTTAGACCACAACCTCGCTCGCTTTCTATAGTTCATGCCATATTTGCAGTAATCCACATCATAATATTTCAATCCATTCATGAAGGGTTGTTCTTTCAAAAGGCCAGTTGAGGATATTCAATGACCCACCACTTTGGTTTGAAGTAGTCAATGATTTCAAGGGTTTTCAACACGATGCTATTAGCATACTCAATCCTTCGGCTGTATTCGGTGCATGGGGGAGCTACCCAAATAAAATTGAAATGGTTTCTGTCAAACTGTTTGTAGTCCCATTCAAGTATATCACAATTAATATCAGCATTTTCAATTCCACTGATATAACATTAAAACCCAAATCCTGAGCAACCTTTCCAACGCTACCGGTTCCACTAAACATCTCCAACAAATTTATACTATATATTTCGAGAAAATATAATATGAACTTACTATATGTATTTCTTTTTCTTTTCCTCTAAAACCCTTTCTCTATTTTCTTCACACCACTGTCTCTTATATTTATCCATAGTTTCTTTGTTTTGAAGGTAAAACTCTTTTTTAGTTCTCCCTGCTACTCGCTTATTTTCACATTCATTACTTTGAATGTGATACCCCTCTTGCTTTAGTAGTTCTTCTTTGTTAGAACACGGGTGGTCTTCAACTAGTTCAATCTTACAATTTTCAACACCGAACTCATCACATAAATGGAACGAAGAACAATGAACACCTTTTTCGTTCAAATATGCTTTATAGCGTCGTCTATGCCTTGCCATTCTCTGACTTAATTCCTCACACGTGCTACCAAAAACATTTATTATAACCATTATCCGTCATCTAATAAATTTTACCTTTCTGTTACCTGTTCATATCTATTATTAACTATATAGATCATGTCTTTAACGTATTTTATAATGACCAGAGGGCGCGTCTATATAAAACCTTTTGTTTTCATATCTACTGAGAGATTGCATGACTTGAGACATTGAATACATTTGGTGAGACTTACTTCTAATAAAGTTATATGTTAATTTCTGCTTTCTGTTTTGAAATAATGCTTCGTGGTAGTTCTGATACGATAGTTCTTCTTTCACCTTGTGCTTCACTACGCCTTTTGATTATTTTCATCATCCTCACCGTGAATTGTGAAGGCATATGATTTACGTTTCAATCCAATGAATTTATAAGGATTTTTCCATTCACTTCGTCCGACATGGATGCTCAACAGGATAGGCGCTAAAATCCATGTGTTGCTTTATCTCATTGAAATCCTTATAGACGTCATCCGTGAAGGTTTGGATTACATAACTGTCAGTGTCAGAAAAAACAGTTTGATGTTTCCATTGTATTTTTTCCCGAAGGCATTGCGAAGGGTTCTTCCGCTGGGTTCACTTGATTTGTTCTCAT